GGTATACAGGCCAGGGAACCGGGAGTGTGACTGGGGAAGAGCTGGGAAAGCTGTTCGCAAGAGCAATGCGGATGGCAAGAGCCCTCCGACGATGAGCGAAACGCCGGGCAGCCGCAGAAACGTAGTTCCGAGCCGCTAATCTTATCAGAAACCCTCCGCACTTTTTTTTGTTCAAGCCCAAAGACAGAGAGACAGAGAAGAGATAACCCGTTTAGGATATACCTCTCCAAAAGGTTGTCTCGTGAGGATTTGGACTGCTCATTCGGAGGCCTCGCGACTCAACCTGTCAGGATGCCCAAGGTCAAACAGCAGAAGCGCAATAGCGCTTCCAAGGCCAGTCCTTATGCCGATGCGGCGGCGAAGACGAAGGCCGCCAACACAGTCTTCAAAATGAATACCGATCTCGGTCAGCACATTCTGAAAAACCCTGGCGTGGCTCAACGAATTGTCGACAAAGCCGAGTTGAAACAGAGCGATGTAAGTTGCCCACATAGTTGTCCCATTACATTACGGATGATTTTGTCTAACCTGGTGGGGCTTTCTTGTATAGGTTGTTCTGGAAATTGGTCCTGGTACCGGTAACTTGACCGTGAAGATCCTCGAACAGGCAAAGAAAGTTATCGCCGTGGAGCTCGACCCTCGAATGGCTGCTGAAGTCACCAAGCGTGTTCAAGGCACACCTGCCCAGAAACGCTTAGACGTTATCCTTGGAGATGTAATCAAAACAGACCTTCCATATTTCGATGTTTGCATCAGCAATACGCCGTATCAGGTACGCTCTATACTCTATCTATCTTTTCAAATTGAAAGAAAGGCTAATTGTTCGCCCGCTAGATCTCTTCTCCCCTCACATTCAAACTTCTCGCGACGTCTCCGGCGCCCCGCATTTGCGTTCTCATGTTTCAACGAGAATTTGCTCTAAGATTGTTCGCTAAGCCAGGCGATAAGCTCTACAGTCGACTCTCCGTCAATGCTCAGATGTGGGCTAAGATCGACCACATTATGAAGGTGGGCAAGAACAACTTCAAGCCCCCTCCGCTGGTCGAGTCGAGCGTTGTCCGACTGGTACCTAAAAACCCCAGGCCCCAAATCAACTATGATGAGTGGGACGGGCTTCTGAGAATCCTATTCGTCCGGAAGAACAAGACAATCCGGTCAAGTTTCCTTGGCAAGTCCACAGTCATGGATATGTTGGAAGCCAACTATCGGACATGGTGTGCGCAGAACGATATTCCAGTTGAGGATGGGCCGGTGGAAGGCGCTGAGTCTGATGCGATGGACATTGGCAACGCGCAAGACGAGGAAGATGATGAGGGTGAAGACGAGCCTGATGAGGGCATGGACGTGGACGATGAAGACGACGTACCCGACTTCTTCAAGGAACAGACGAACGCGCGTATTCAAGAGGCTCTTAAGAATCGGCCTAGTCGTAAGAAGAAGGGAAAGGTAGCAGAGCTCGTCCGGGAGAAGGTACGGCAGGTGTTGGAAGATGAAACACGCCTTGCCGACAAGCGTGCAAGGATGTGCGATGAAAACGACTTCCTGAAGTTATTGTGGGCCTTCAACCAGAAGGGCTTCCATTTCAGCTGAGGCTAATAAGCCTGGGAATCGGAGATTACGTCTCCTTTTCGGAACGCCATATACTAATGAAACAGGTGATATTATTAATGACTCATGACTGTCGTCACTGCAGGTCATCCTCTGGAGTTCGTTCTCCAGCCGGACGAAGATGAGCCCTAGAGTCCTGGAAGAGACTTTGCCAGATGAATGCTTCGCTCAGCAAGAGTTCCACATCTTTATCCGTCCAATCCCTTGTGGGAAGTGCTTGCAGAAACATCATTATCTCCTATTGTCGTTTAGCATTGACTGTACGGTATCCAGAACCTTAAAATTATACCCACCTGGAAATCCATCTTCACCAGCTGGTCTGACCATTTCACAAGGAAGGCTGCACAAACGTATAGGTGAAACCTCGAGAAACCCTGCTCCTCTGCCTAATGATATGGTCAGCATACCTGATCTACATCTGGCGCAATTAGGGATATACTTGGTTTGCCTTACCATATACGTGTCCCACATCCGTATAGTATTCTGTACACTCATCTCACGCATGAGAAGACAGTTCATCCACCGGAAACTGAACTGCATGAACTCTACTCCCTCTTGCTCCAAGTGCTTGGCCAGTGTAGAATCAATGCGCATCGTCAAATCACGCAGTGCCCTAACTTGTCGGTGAATACCCGGTTGAGCATAGATATAATTGTCCTGAATACCGTCAAGTAACTTGGTAAGACACCAGAACGTATCTGCCTCCACGGCATCCAGCACACTCCTGGGCAGCTGCCCAGGATCCATGCCCCTCTCAACATTAGAATCAGTTACATACGTGCCCAGAAAGACCTGCCAGAACGGGGTGACGAGGTCATTGATACCTTGCACGTATCCGCTCGCCGGGTGTCGGATAGCCCAAACATAGAGGATCTTTTCCAACGATCGTTGAGTAGCTTCGTAGCTGTAAAGTTGAATATGAGGGCTAGTCCGAGGAACATCAATGCTGATTTGATGCCATATTGCCTCATCCAGGCCCCTGCCACGCCCAGCGCTCGACGAAGGTGGATTTCCAGAACCAGCCGCACTCCCACGTTCAAAGGCTTGTCGAACCCCGTCCAAATATTCCTTACGCTTTCTTTCGAGGGTAGGAATGCGCCTTTCGCTATTTGTAGGGAGATATCCAAGGAGCAGTTGCCAGGTCATCGCGCGAACTTCATCGGGGACCCCTGACCAAGCCAGATTCCTCAGATCTGACAAGGGAACGGTGCTTGTCTGGAGAAGACGTTTAAACTTGTTGATTCTCGAAATACGGCTGTTGTACATATCCATCTCTTTAGGCGAAGCATTTTTGGGAGGAGGCGCGTGGTTTATGAGGTTCAAGGCGTTGGCGGGGTCTGAAAAGAAGAGGTTAGTACGTTCCAGCGTTATAACAAGGACAGTTTCATACCTTTCAGGATTTCTTTATACTGAGGTCGCAGTATCTTACCCTCCCCAGTTCCAGCAGTAGGATACATAGGGACACCGCGCTCCTCAGCGATGTCCGAACTATTGGCCCGTTGCCGATTGGTTCCCAAACCAACCCCGAGTGACGAGGCGGTACTAGCAAGCCCCCCACCTGGGTCAGCAGGCTTAAGCTGAGAAGTGCCAGCTCGCTGCGACTGTTTCTTTCGCATGCTGGTAATACTAGGGAGACCAAACTCGTCCTCATCGTCATCGTAGACAATGTCCTCCTCCCCCTCTTCATCTTCATAATCTTCTCCCAACCGGTCGGGGCCCCAGGATTCGATCCCGCCATTCATTATGTCAGAGTAGGAAGTAGTATGAGGGGACGTAGTCCACCCGCCCGACCGTAGGGGCGAGAGAGACGTGTGTTGAATGTTGCCAGAGGATGACCGAGGCGGTGTCCGCGGGCGCGCATGCTGCTGCGAGATACCTCTATTGGGGGAGGCGCACAGGTCAATGAAACGAAAGAGCCAAGCGCGAAGAGAGGAGAAAGCCCAATGACATGCAATATACTAACTTTAGTATGTCAGCGTGCGAGTATGAGGCACCAACAACCGTGTTTTGTTCATGTTGCGTCGAGGCCGCTTGATTATGGGATACCGATCTTCCTTTCCAAAACGGCGAATTCACCCGCCTTTCAGGGGAGAATTAGCGCGAGAAACTCAAAAATACATGCTATGAGATGCCCTCAATGGCTCACAAGGAGAAATTGAGCGATGGGGAGTGAAACATACTCAGCACGGTCTGTTCATTTGAAGTGGGGGAGCTATATCAGCCACTGGATCTGGAACCCAAAAGACGGGGGTGTGAGAGGTACGAACCAACCTGGACCATTTCCTACAGAGAATCAAAAGCGATTGGGGTTAGTTAGATATTGCATAAAAGATGTGAAAGTTGGGCTTATGGGGTTGAGGTCAGGACTCACCTGTTGGCCCTTCCTCGCAGCCATTGCGGTTTTAAGGAGTGCGGAGGCAACGATAGCATCAATTGAGCAGGTCTTGGGGATCAAATAACATGGAGAGAAGCACGGAAGCCGAGTGCGGGGAGGGCTGCGGCACGTGGATTCGGTGCTGCGTCCAAAGCTGGCAGGGTTTCCCAGCAACAACACCCCGAAGAACAACGTCGATCTGATTTGATCTACTTTTTTGGCTTACAGATCTCTGCGCGGCGGGGGGGAATCAGTGTAATTGTAATTGGAGTTGGTGGCCTGTCATGCCACAATAGTACTCTTACTTAGTAGTCTTCTGATGATATTTGCTGGTCGGGGGATAACACTCGATAAGGTCTTGCGTAAAAGGTCTACTGACTACTAATACTAGCCCTTACGGACAATACCCACCTGGTAGCTTTCGTCAGGTACTGTGAGGAAGCAGTACCTCCCAGAACGGAGAGATCTTGGTAAAGAGAGTATGATATTTTCCGATAATTAAAATGCAGATCTATATATTAGAGTTACGTATAGTCATTAATAATGAGTAACTATTCTTTAATTTCTAATTTTTCAACACGCATCAATTTACTCTTGCAGGTTGAAATATCATAATATCATAACTACTACATAGTACTTAAGGTTCCTTACCGATGGCCAGGATCCATTACAATACAATACATATTATTACCGACGGGATACTCTTACAAGTTACAGTACCAGCACAGCGTACGTACTTGCCCAGTCAGCTAGTCCGTCACTCTGGACTCTCACTCTCCCCGTCGCTCTCGCCTCAACCTCCGCCGTGTAGCTGCTTCTCCTCTCCTCTCCTCCACCTCTTTCTTCCTCACCCCCTCTCTTTCTTTCCCTGTGCTCCTTGTCTCTACGACTAACCCACTTCACCCTTACTCTTGTCGCTCTCCTTTTCCTTCTCTTTACTTAACTAGTTGTTTTTCTTACCATCTCCACCGAGGCAATATTTTGGCGATAATAGTTCGTCGCCATCGGTTCGTTGATACCTCTCTAGGTCGGATTTGACTGGCTCGGTTGCCTCCATCTCGGAGTTGGTCACCTTGATCACCTTTCATTTCTGTCCTCAGTGCGACCTATTTCTTACCTGAATTTCTTTGTTCCAAGATCACCATGGCTGAACCCGAGGATGTTGAGGAAGATCTTTTCGCGGATCTGTAGGGTGCTCCAATTTACCGGCATTGTCTAGACAGCTTCTAAACTCTATGTTTTCTTTCTAGGTATGAAGCCGACGACAATACAAGCCATACCATACCCAGTACGGAAACTTCAAAATCTGTCGATCCTGTGCCCTCGGCTGCACCTATCAATCCTTCCCAAATCCCCATTCAGTCTGTTGAAACTGGCCCGATCGAATTTGAGACGGACGCTTCATACTATCACCCGTATCAAGGAGTCCACCAGAACGGCACGGATCATGTAGGTACTGGACGTGCACATCATGCCATGTCTGGTGGTGGTGAGTCCGAGCCTCGAGGCACTGGTATTAAAGAAGACGGGTAAGTGCTACCTCTGTTAGAGACTTCGTGCAATTTTTTTTTCTTTCCCTTGCTTGTACCTTGATTGCAATTGAACACGCGAGTGTTCATGCGCGATATAAATCGACCCCGTTTTACACTTATGCTGGGTTCTTTTTCTATCCTCTGGGGGGGATGGCTCATGGTAGGTTGGGGATGCCGGTGATATTCGCACACGTACCGCCTTTCCTGCTGTGCACCGTGAACGTAACTAGTGAGTTGGGCACTGGAAGCTGCGCATCAAAAATCTTCAGCGGCTGGGCCAATGGTTCCTGGGGTGGGCTCTACTAAGATATACGGGCTTGGCGTCATGGGCAGAAGGATGAGGTTCTTAATCTAAGTCGAGGTCTTATCCGGTTGGGTCATCGTTGTTGCTAGATGGACGAATTCTCGGATAGCCTTGGACATGCAGCTTTCAGGCTCTTTCATGGGTATGGATATCAAAATCTCTCGGGTGAAGGCAAATTCACCTCGGCCGTGCTCGACTTGTTTATATCTCAGCAATCCATCGTCGGTATGACTTCCGCGGTGAGATTTACTTCGGTTTCCTGACACTGCGATCCCTTGTCGCGAGCGACTATAGTACAGCCGATACTATATAGCTTCTTGTCGATATAGCTTGATAGTGCACAGCAAGGAATAACAGCCTTGGCTGTCTGGTTGGGCAATGTCGATCAGATTACCTAGCTTCGGACATGATTAGACAGACAGGCAGAGGATCCTTGGTTCAGGGAAACAAGAACAAAAAGAAAAGAAAGTTGACTTAATCCGCCTGCCATGCTCCAACCCGTGGTTCTTTTGTCACTCACGCGCACTTCTTCTGTCGTGGGATACATCTCGCCTGGCCTTTTATTATCCACTGGGTCGCCCCGTAAACCAGTGGTCGAATGACTAGAGATATCTCTGTCCTCATTAGCCAGTCGCCCTCTGGCCACCCCGGTCGGTGTATACAAGACTCGGAAGTCGGCCCGTTTCAAGGAAACCTGAAGCAAATGCACCGACTGTCACTACAATCAGTCCGATGATTGACCTTGCTCAAGCACAACCCATGCCCTTCGCGCAACAGACACTACTCGATCAGCGCAGGGAGTTAGATACCCCCATATTAGGGAGACCCGAACTTCAGGATCAGCTTAATAGCATTCACAATTAGCCTCCCCAAACAAGTGACTGTTTCTTTCAAAAGCATGGGCCATCAGCCCCCCCTCCCAACAGCAAAGTCTCAGCTCCTGTCCACCTGTCTACTACTTGTGCCCGCCTCTGATATCAAGATTATTTTCTCGTTCTTCGTGTCTTTATTCTAGTTTTTTTTTTTTTTTTTTTTTTTTTTTTTTTTTTTTTTTTTTTTTTTTGGTTTCTTTATTCTTATTTTTTCTGCGTTGTCTGCTTCCTTCAAGCCCTCGTGGCGTGACCTCCTTTGCTGATATCGGTATGGGTTAGGAAAATGTTCATCGGGGGTTTGAACTGGGAGACTACGGATCGTATGTATTTCCCAAACACTACCACTTCTATTCAAATTAAGTACAGCGTGTCTAACACAATGACCTAGAATCTCTGAAGGACTACTTCTCTCAATTTGGAGAGGTACAGGAATGCACTGTGATGCGAGACAGTGCTACTGGTCGCTCTAGAGGTTTTGGTTTCTTGACTTTCAGAGATCCGAAGACAGTGAACACTGTCATGGTCAAGGAGCACTACCTAGATGGGAAGATTGTAAGAATCTCGTTCATCCTAACACGCAGACCATTGTCGGATATAAAGCTTATGTTTGAATGACAGATCGATCCTAAGCGTGCGATCCCGCGTGACGAGCAAGAGAAGACTAGCAAGATCTTTGTTGGTGGTGTCAGCCAAGAGGCCAACGAACATGATTTCAAAGAGTTCTTTGCTCAATTTGGCCGCGTCATCGATGCCACCCTGATGATCGACAAGGATACTGGTCGTCCTCGTGGCTTCGGATTTGTGACCTTCGATAGCGAGGCTGCTGTGGAAGCCGCTCTGTCGGGCCCCTTGGAGATCTGTGGGAAGCCCATAGAGGTCAAGAAAGCTCAGCCAAGAGGCAACTTGCGTGATGAGGAAGACCGCAGGTTCCGCCGCGGCAGGGACGCCTTCCGAGAGGGTGGTCAAATGGGGGGTGATGGTTCCCAGCAGCAAGCGGGTGCACCGGGACAGGCCAACATGGCTGGTGGATTAACACCACAAATGATGGCACAGTACTGGCAAAGGATGCAGCAGTATTTTGCTTTAATGCAACAGCAGATGGCTGTCGCCGCCGCTCAGGGTCAGGGAATGGGCGGAATGGGAATGGGTGGAATGAACCCTGCCATGATGCAGCAAATGCAACAAATGAAGCAGATGCAACAGATGCAGATGGGCAACAATCAGCCTCAAGGCAGTCTCAGTCCTCCTTCGCAGAGCGCAACTCCTCAAGCCATGCCGAACATGATGAACCCCGCTATGATGCAGCAAATGCAACAGATGCAGCAGATGCAAAGTCAAGGGCAGGGCAGCAACGTCGGGGGCATGCCGGCCCAAATGGGAAATGCTATGGGAGGAGGAGGTGGTGGTGGTGGTGGTAGTGGTAGTGGTGGAGGAACACCAGGCAGTGCTAATGGAAATGGGAACTTTACTGGTCCTCGAGGGGGGCCTGGTTATAACGCTCAGGAACAAATTGCTTTTGAACAGCAAAAGTATGAGCAGCAGCAGGTACGCCGAGCCATGGAGAACCGGGCCTTTTCGCCGTACCAGCAGGGCGGGCCCACTTCGTGGGAAGGCATGTACGATGAAGTGCCCCAGCCTAACATTCCTACTGGACCCCAGGCCATGAATCGCGCCGGAAGCATGGGACGCGGTATGTGATGGTTATAGATATCTGCCTTTTTGCTAGCTGACCCAGACGCAGGACCCACCCCGCAACCTCAAAGCGCTGCCCCGGCGAACGCTCCCACAGGACCCAAGAACGCTGGCAAGCCAGGCGCCAACTATCGTGGAGGTGGACGTGGAGGACACCGGGGCTTCCATCCCTACGCCCGGGGATAAGCCGGTATCCTTCTTTAGTGTGTGCGAATAGGTGTATCGTTCTGCTGTCGTCGCTTTCCGTTATCTTGTTACTGTCAGGTTTTGGTCCCTTTCCCATCAAGTTGTCCCCACCTCCCCTGTTGCAACTACTGCTGCCTTTCGTATTAATGGGGGGGGGAATCTATCTTATCTCATACTCATAGTATGACCACTACAATGATTGGTGAGGGGAGGCGACGTCCTGCCATCCTTGATGATGTCTAATGTAACTTTCCGAGTGATGCTTCCATACAATTTCCCTCTCATGGATGCTTTTTACCCCCTGTCGAAGTCTGGAGTCTCCTCGGCGGAAGGTTTCGAATCGAACCAGAAAAACCAAGAGTTGGTGTTGTTGCATATAATTCAAATTGGCGTTATCCTCAGTACTTCTTATGTCAACTTTTCAGTTCGAAAACCAAAATCAATGTTCTTATTGTTCAATCAAGCCGGACCCTGCGCTCATCGCAAAGTAGCTGCAGGACTTACCTAGTCAAATCCGACGTTTCCCAGATATATGATGACCTTGACCATCCAGTTCGGGTTTTGCAATTGCTATGATCATGACTGGGGATAAATATAGTCGGATCAAATGCTTTCAATTTGGACTTCTAACTTTCTAGTACAAGATGTAGGTCTCAGCACCCTCAATGCCGGCTGAGGGTGTGAGCAGAGAATGCAGCTTGCGCGTCCTGTCAATGCATTTTTTCCCACAGGCTATCCACAATAACGGGGTCAAGATAATGCGTAGGAGCAATCCCCTATGAGCGCCAATTTACAAGAAGGCCTGAAAGCTAAAACTAGGTATGAATGGTAGTGTCATGGTGGGAATCAGATAGGACAGAACAGAAAAGCAGACAAAGGGTAGTTAAGAGAGTCAGAGAGGGAGAAAGGAGCGGCGTAACAAAATTGCAATAAATACCAAGATCCACCATCAACCAAATCAAGTACGCTAAATTCGTCAAATTTGCCTGACACAAAAATTCTATGTTCAATATGTAAGATGAATATTGGGTCGAGAAAAGAAAATATTGGTACGTCGTCAAGTGCCATCCAGCGCAAACGGGCTTCAGTAAGCAAACCCATAGCCCGGGGTCGTGGCATGGTGCTTTTCGGGGTTTTCATGGCTGCCATGACTGTCATGGCTTCGGCGGCTTTCTCGACTTATACTTCGACCATTGATGTCTTCAAGAGGATAGCTTGAATCAACCAACCGATCCGTGCTACCTGTAGGGCTGTGTCGCGATTTCGAATCATGTTGATCCCGGTAAGGTTCGTAAGGACCGGTAAAGTTGAACTTGCTCATTTCAGCGAAATCCTTGCGTGGAGGATGCTCCATGAGCAGAGATTCACGGGCGTCAAGAGGGGTCAGATCGTCGAGGTCACGATTCATTTTGTCTAATAACACAACAGTCAGCAACCCAGAGTGTCAAACCCAATGGCTAAATCACTTACTAGCTTCCCTCTTCCGTTTAGCATGGGGGTTTTCGCGAATGCAGAGGATGATGGCGTTGGTGGCAATGAGGATGGCCAAGATACCACTCAGTCCCGACTGAATAGCAATGAGGACAATGCCGGTAACAGTTTTGGTCGTTTCCGAAAGTCCCAGCTCGTCGACGAAGATCAACACACACGCGATTGACAAGACACGAACCACTTGGACGGAAATGTTGATCCACTGGCTAGATTTGGCAACGTACGGACGGTTCCACAGCAGAAGAGTAAGCATGAGAGCCTCCACGATCAGTTGACCAGCGCTTTGGGCAAGCCCATGACCATCTCCAGCAGCGATAACGCAACCCTTGGCAAACATGTATACAATAGCAGGGACGAATGCCCACCAGTAGTCCTTTTTGTAGTTGTCGTAGAAAAGACTGTACTTGCGCCAGGTTTCGTCATTGTCGTACAAATGGGACGCATCGCCTTCGGCCTTCTTGTACTTCCGAGCCACGAACATGATCTTGAGACCAAAGTACAATAACACAGCCGTGAAAACTGTGAGCGCCACAGCAGCCAAGAGCTTCGCCGCCCATGAATCCCCACTGCTGAGCTGATAGACACACCAGATCACCCAAACGCCGTACAGCAGCAGGATCAAGTTGGTAATTGTCCGACCCAGGAGACCCCAGTAGTCTTTGCGGAAGTTGGTAAGTTTGTCGGGGAAAGAACCGTAAAGAGCCCAGACTTCGAGGATGACCTTGAGCAGCAAGATACCAACGGCGATAGCGGCAATTAGAATGGCGAAAATGAGCAGAACAGTCATGAAGGTATTGGCTTGAGGGATGGTGAGCTGTTCGGCATAGGCCTCAATACCGGAGACGAAATGCTCGAAACTACTGCTGTCATCGCTGGTGCTGTTAGACGACGAAGTAGTGTTGCTGCTATACGAAGTCGAGACCTCGCGCGCAGCTAGGTTAGCCAAGCCTGTAACCAGATCCAGTCCTCGTTTCGATTTGGAACTAGAATTCGTGCCGTCAGAGTACACGAGCGTGGCATTGATAAGATACTGGTAGCTGTTGTCGGTGAGATTTCCGCCGGTCGACTTTCGGAAGTTATCAATGGACTCCTGCATCTGACCCCAAGGGATCAAGCCCGTGCTAAAGGCAAAGTTCTTCGAAAAGCTGCGGTACACCGTCGGATAGCTGACACTGAGCATTCCATTAGTGGCCATAGTATGGAACCAACTCACGACATCACCGAAGCTGGGACTAGACGAGACAGCACCAGGGTGGCCAACAGCACCCAGAGCTGACAACCCGCTCACGGCCAATGCCGCACCAGCCACACCCGCAGCAGCATAGGATACACCCGCAATCTGCATAGAATTGCCGTTGGTTAATTCCGATTGGATGCATGCCAGCTCGTCATTGTCGGTCTTGGACAGCAATTGAAGCTTCACTTGGCCATCCAAGTCTGGGATGGCGAAGGCGATGGAAGGAATTTCACTAGCGATCGATTCGGGTAAGGTCTGGGTGCCAGTCGCGGAGAAGCTACCGGCAGCAACGGGGCAGAGTTGCTCCACGTAGTATTTGCTGCTGCACGGGTCGAAAGTTTCGGAGTACAGTTGATTGCCGTAGGCATAGATGGTCAAGATGGCAGTGACATTCTGTTCTACCCCATTGGTGCCGGAAACATCGAAGACGATTTCTCTAGTAGAACGGGTGTAGGTAACAGATAGTTTGTCGACTTGAATAGCAGAGTCTGACATACAAGTTGTCAGACCATTGGTGCTGAGGGTATCGGCAGCGAGGGCTCGAGTGGCCAGGAGACCCAGCGCCGTAAGGGTCGAAAAGGAAGGAATGATCCGCATATTGACAATTGATGGATGTTGTTACTCAAGGCTGTGAATGTTCAAGGTGCCAGCATCAAGAAAGTCTTCACAGAGGTTAGAGGTTATGCAGGTAAGGGAGAGTTCCTTTTCGAAAGATTGGCGACGATTATAAGGGTATATTTGGCGCAAGAGTGAATCGCCGATCAAAATCATGCAGCAACTAGGCTCGCCTGATGATACGGAGATTGTTGACAGGATCAACCTGTGTAGAATGAAATCGCTTAGAGAAGGTGAATCAAACTGTTGAAGCTGCAAACAGATGCTCGAAAGAGTGTGCAGAACCGCAATACAAGATATCCAAGCAAGCCACGAGAGGGGATGCCGTTCCAAAAAGTGTGAGGACCGCACCCACACCCTCTCACTGACTTGTGTCACTCGCTGTCCGTCGCAAACGTTAAGGGAGTGGAGGCAGGAGAGCGCAATTCATGAAGCGGGGGGCAGAGAGGGTTGAGTAAAAGAGAGTCTTGTGGGCAAACAGATTGTTTGCCAGCACGAGAGAAGAGAATAGGCGCTCAACTCTAGAGACTGAAGAAAAGGGGGGGTGGTGGGTTGAGGAGAGCGCGCGGCTAGGCAGAGAAAGTGAGTGATAGTGTTGTGAGTAAGGAGTGGAAACGCGCGAAAGGGACAGATGCTGGCTAACAGATCAAACCGACGGAAGAGCGACGAAAAGGGAAGAAAGAAAGAACCATGCAGAACGAATGTTGGATGGAGACAACCAGACTCCGAGGATGATGAGGGTGGAGGAGGGGGAAAGAGAAGAGAGGGAGGGGAAGTGATGTGTGAAAGGAAAGATGAGATGGGATGGGATAGTAGAGTAGCTGCCTGTCTCAGTCAGTCACTGTCTCGTTTCTCTCTTTCTCTCACTCACTCTCTCTCTTCTAAAGTTACCTGCGATTTACAGCCCGTACTCTGCGTTACCACCACTCTAGTACTGCTTCCTACTGTCAGGTACCAGGTTAGTAGTAATGTTATTGGGTATTATTGTTGGCTAACGACCATTGGCCCGGCAGGTGGTTCGAGACTCTGACCATACACAAACTGGGAGTACTAAGTTGCCCCTGAGTGTCTCGAAACTCGCCCCATGCGAGCTTCTCATTGGGCATGTAATCAGGTCCCCGCCCTAGAAGAGCAGCGGGTTGGTCAGGGACGGGCGGCTGGGGCCAGTCTGGACTTGCCGCTAATGAAGCTAGTCGTCTTATTTCTGGGCTCGATCGTTTTTTTTATTTTTCCCGGCGCCACCGTCCTGGCACAAAACCCAGTCACGATACATGAAGTCAGTCTCGTTGTGAAACCTGAAAATGGAGACTCGAACTACTATTCATAGCAAAGATACGATGAATATCTTTTACTAACGTAGGCTAGTTGACTGATTGTCTCTCTCTACATTTTTTTAATGCTTTTTTTTTTTTTTTCTTTCCTATTCAACTTGGAGTGGCCTGCCTAATGAAGATTTCCAAAGTCAAAAGATCATGGGTCAAGGAAGGGGGGAGGAAATGACCTTTTTTAAACTAACAAGTAGACTAGTTAGTGGTCTACTAGTTACCAGCCGATAGAAGCTTGACCTTCAACCTTCCCGTCCGTGTTGATTATTCGAGTTACTATTCTCATCTCCCAGTTTCCCGAAATAAAATTGCAAGGATGGCCCTGGTATAATTACTTCATTCTACTCCAGACATACCATCTCGCCTACACACCGTCAATTCAGTCTTGGTCGGTAAGCTGCGTGGTGGGGGTCGTGGGAAGTGACTTGGCCCTCTCTGCCCTGCCCTGCCCTGCCCAGCCAACATCCGTCAGCCGTGCAGAATCAGTAACCAAGTCGATCCTCTCCTCTCCGTCTTGTAGTACTCCCCCTCCTGTCAGCAGTTGATAGTACGTATGTTCACAAGGTCAATCATCGTTTAGCTTTCTCTTCATGGAGCCCATTGTCATGGACAGATAACCGTCAAACTCTCAACCTGGGCTCAACTAAGTTTTATTTTTCTTTTTTCTTCTTTTCTCCCACGTCACTTCGCTCACACGGGAGGAGTCTCAAACATCTAGAACTAGTAGATAATTAGACGCGGTTGGCAAACGTCCTGCCTCGTTGGGGGGCCCAGGGCGAAATGGATGGCTCCATGATGGGCCAAATCGTGTGGCCCAATCCTCTGCCGAAGCCACGCAGTGGGGCGGGAATTAGGACTCCGGCACTCTTTGTGTGAGAGTGAGAGTAGGAGTAAATGA